TTCCATGTTCTTTCCACTACCATCCTGGAAGAGGATGCATTTTGTTTTGTTTTTTAAATAAGTGAAATGTAGAAACAAAATTGAATTGGAGCATTTGCACCAGATCCCTGATGGAGAGTCTCTGTGAGCCTTGCCTACACCGCTCAGGCTAACGTATTTGCAAGACATTACTGGAGGACACCCTCCCCGCCAAAATGAAATAAATGACAGGATCCTGGAGACAAAGATAAACCGCAGTTATGTCAGCTCCAGAATCACTGATCAAACAGCAGAGTGGCCTGGTGTGTTGAAAAGGTATTACAGTGCACAGTAAGTAGCAAGAGCTGAAAGGCAGGTCCTCTAGAGCTGAGAAATACCACAGATTCCACATGGCTCAGATCAAGCAGTGCCTCTGCCTTAGAGTGAGGAAAAGACATAAGACAGTGCTGCCAAGTTTATTATAGGTCACCGTAAGTGGGGCAGAAACTATATGGAAGCCCTAGTCTGCATTGGGAGTTCACAGGAGCAGAGGATCAGTGATGCCCAGGGAAGGATGGGTCGGCAACTCCTGAATGTGGGTGAATGAGGAGAGTAATGATAATGTAGGAAGAGACAGTAGATCTGTAATAATGGAGTCAGGCAGAAGAGGTAGTCAGAGGAGATAGAAACTGTCCTTAAGGAGAAAAGTTTCCATCTCAGAGCTTGAAAGGATCATGGCAGCATTAAGTACCCTTCCTTACATGAAGTCTCCTTCAGAAAAAAATAAAAATGAAAATGTTTAATGATAGAATAGGATTACTAAAACTAATCTAAGCTGCTTCTGCCTTTTCCCAAATCCTGTTCCAGAAACAACCCTTTAGTAAATGGAGAAACACATCTTCATCAGGAAGGTCAGAGAAGATAGTATTGAAGAAGCAGTGGTGGGGCCAACCCTGGGCTGAGGGTTCTCATCCGTGTGTTCATGCAAAGCGAAATGGGGCCCACGGACAGATAGATTGGTTCTGCCAGGGAGGGGAAACAATTTTTACAATTTCACAAAGGGGTGGTGCTTAAACTGAGAGTTGCAAGATGAAGAGGTAGTCATGGGCCGGGGCAGGGTGGGGCGAGCAGAGGAAGGCCAGCCCTCCTACTTCTGTATTAGGTCCTTTCCCCCCTCACCTCTTCTAGGATGTTTCTCCTATAACCATCCAGTCTCTACATCAGGAATTTCCCTTATTCCAGCCAGCTTACAAACATGCTAAACTATTTCCTACCCTCAAACACCTCTCTCCCTGCTTCTTCCCTCCAGCCCCATTTCTCTGTCTTTATAGCAAAACTCCTAAAAACAGTAGTCTATATTCCATGACTCCACTTCTGTGTTCTCTTAAACCCAATGAAATCAGTATTTCACCCCCACTCTCCAGTGAACCAGCTCTTGTCAAGGTCAGGAGTAACCTCCCTGTTGCCAAAGGCAGCTGTCCATCCAGTGGCCACACCTCACCCGGCCTCCCACTGTGTTTCATTCCGTTGGTTCCTGTGTCCTTCTTGAGACACTTGTTCCCCTCAGCAACTGAGAGAGCAGTCTCTCCAGATTAGTGTTCTGTCTCCTCCACTTCTCCTTTCAGCCTCTTGCTGCCCCATCACCTCCCAAACATTGATCCTTTAATATGCACACATTGGTCAGGGCACTCCCCCTCGGGGAATCCTTCAGTGACCCTCCCCTACACAGAATCCAAACTAGAGCCAAGCTTCAAAGCCTCCATGATCCGATGCCTGCCCCTGGCACTGCATCTTTCACATAACATTTGTGCGGTGCTCTAGAGGACAGGCAGCCCCTTCATGTGCGCTTTCTCGCCACATCCTCCCAAGATCCCTGGGAATTGAGTGGTTCCCATTTGCAGATGAGGAAGCTGAGAATCAGATTTTCCATTACTTGCCCAAGGTCACACAGCTTGCCAGTGTCCTCTGTGAAAGTTTCTGTATCCAGATCCTATGCTCTTCTCATTTACAACGCTTTGCTTGGCCTGATCCTTAAACTCCGTGTTACCGGGGGAAGCAAGGGAGTGGAGGTGTGGTTCCTTCTTTTGGGTTCCAGCCTGTCCATCTGGATTTCCTCTTGAGCACAGTGGTTTACACTCTTCACCCCAGGGGCTTGGTCGTCACGTTTGCAGGACAATGGGTGCTCTTACTGGTTGAAATGCTAAATCTCCCAAAATGAAAGGCCAGCTGCAGAGTTTGAGAAGAACAAGGGCCGAATGATTTGATCAGACATCTGTGGGGGCCTCCTGGCATTTGGGGCGTGAGTGCCTTAGAGAAACTAACTATTCTGGCCTGAGGGAGTTGGCGACTGTTAATCTTGGTGGTTTTGACCGCTAACTGCCCCAGAGGTCCCAGCCTGCTGCATGACTCAGAATCCCCAACACTCCCCCTATTCTTCTCCCACTGGGATAGTCAGGAGGCCATGGCTAAGGCATTTTAATTTGGTAATAACTTGACATGGCCCACTGTCTCTGGGGCTGTATGTTTTAGAAGTTACTGTAGCTTTCTAAATGGGGGGGGTGGGGAGGGGGCGTGTTGGTTTGGAGCTGCTCATCCTTGACACCTGACTACCTTGCACTGTCATGGGAAGAGCCCTCCTGGCTAGGTTCTGGCTTCCCTGTGCTCCGGCTGGCCGGTGCCCCCTCTTCTCCATGACAGACTACCCGAGTCCATGGCTCTTGGATTGCCCATAGCCCTTATTCCAGAAGCACCTTTCCAGTGGTTGATGGTGTAAACCAAAGTGTGGCCAAAGGGTTGTCTGCTGTTGTACATCTGTGTTTGTGGTACACCGTGTTAGAGGGCCAGCTGCCATCCATCTTTCATCCTCAATGCAAAATTTTCTGGAATTCAGAAGAGCACAGGAATCCACTGTTACGAGGCAGGACACAGAGAGTGGGGGATTGGGAGTCATGGGTATGAGGGACTCACAACACCTCACTGCTTGTAGACACACTTGCCTTCTTGACCCTCTTCTCTATCCCTGTCCGGCACTCACCACTTATGTGCTGTCCCTGGACTCTCTGCTTCCGTCTGCGATGGCCCTTACCATGGTCTGCACTGGTGGTACTGCCATGTTCAGGGGTCCTGCACTGATGTCTGCCACCTAACTAGCTCTAGGATCTTGGATAAGTCTCTCTATCTTTCTGGGCTCATGTGTAAATTAATAGCTAATAGAACCTACTCACATGGCTGTTGAAGAAGCAATTGAAAAAAATCTGTATTTCAAACACTGTACCTAGTCTAAGAGCTTCCCCCAAGTTCACTAATTATACTGAGGTTTCTGTTTTGTTTCGGAAATATAGTTGTTTACATAAGAAAATACTGTTACGTAAATTCTCTTTTTAAACCTTTGACTTTCCTTTTGCCTACCAAATAAAGTCTCAGCTCTAGCTTATCATGCAGCATTTGTATTTGCATTTCAGGCTTTACATTTCACTGGTAGGAAAGGCTGAAAGGAAAAAAAAATGTAGACTTCTAGAAGAAATGGCACACAGATACAGATGAGATTGTCTAAGTTCAGTGAGCAATTACTCAGTGCCAGGCCCTGGGCTAGGCCCACAGGGGCACGGGAGTGAATCACACATGACACACGACAGGCAATGGCATCATCGTTTCTGGCTGTCCGGTATAGGCGCCAGCCTCCTGCCCCCCAGACCTGCCCCACCCAGTTCCTGCAGAAGGCAGCCCCCAGGGAAGACTTAGCGTGGGGGCCCGGCACAGCAGAGCGGCTGGGCACCAGAGGGTTGGCAGCAGGCCCAAGGGTGGAGGCCAGGGGAGGGGGGGATTGGGCCTGGGAACTGGCAGCCAGCCAGGGCTCTCAGGTGCCCCGGCATGCAGGGCCACCAGCCTCGCAGTCGCTGAATGTGTCCTGTCCTTCCACTGTGGTTTTCTCTGTACTGCACTGGCAGAGATTTTGGTGGCAAGGTAGCCACTCTAGCCCCACATCGAGCACATAAGGGCATCAAAACCCAAAGACATGAAGTTGGGACTGGACTACAGTCATGCGGCAACAAAGCCGGGACTAGAACACACAGGTCTTCTGAAAAATTTTCAGCAAGCACTCTGGCTTGTAGGCTCTCGAGATTGTCTTATTTTCAGCACAATTCAGTGAGGTTCTCAGAGCCATTTTGTTCCCTCAGAAAATTACAGGTGTCTTCTGTGGGCCTGTCTCTGCACAGGTACTGGGGATGCAGGGTTAGATCAGACTCTGACCTTGGGGGTTCGCAGTATGATGAGGGAGACGTGGAGAGTGCCTCTGGGGGTAAGCATGTAATGTGGGTGACAGGGGACAGACTGTGGAGCACAGAAGACGCACTTAGCCCCCCCTGGGGGTCGGGGAGTTACTCCCGGTGAAGTTGAGTCCTGAACTTCGTTGTGATGGACCAGTCGGCATAGCCAGGTGGAGAGGACAAGGAGGGACATTCTGGACAGAGAGAATAGGAGAGAAGCAGAGCATCCTAAGTTAAATATCGAATGGTTACAGCAACAGTCCCAACATATATTTGACCTATATTCAGGACACTGAGAGTGATTCCCACTGGCAGGATCACAGCATGTGTGGGGAGTAGAGGCAGGTGTGACTGGGTGTGTAAGACCCCACAGGGAAGTCTGAAAGGGCAGGTGCCCGTGACCATCAAAGCCTGGGCAGCTCTTTCCCTAGGTGTGCAGGCTCCACTTTTCTAGTCTGAGAGCCTTAATGGAGTTCGTGATTTCCTTGGTGTTAAGCTTGCTGCAAAGAATCTATACAAAACCCAGTGAGCTCTTTTTACCAAATTCTGTACAGGGCCCTTGCTAATTTATCTACCTATTCCTTTAGAATTTTTTGGTTTGGGTTTTTTATTCCCCCTCTCCCCCCGGAAGCCTTGGTGTGGAAAAGGGGCTGAAAGTCTCATTGTAGAGAATGAAGCTTTATTCAAGTTTCAAACAGCTCCAGCCCTTCGAGACCAATACCCCACTGATGGCTCAGTGCCTGGCAAGCTGTGACTTTCCTTCTCTTCCCATAGGCCTGCTGAGTTGGCCACCAAGTACGCAAACTTTTCCGAGGGAGCGTGCAAGCCTGGCTATGCGTCAGCCTTGATGACTGCCATCTTTCCCCGGTAAGTGTTCCTCTTCCTTCCGGCTGCCTGGTCCGTGGCCTGGGAGTCAGAAACCCGATGCTGTGCAAGTGATGTGCTCTGAGAAGGCGAAATTCTGTTGTAACTCATTGCCCTGTGTCCTTGAGTCTGTGGGTGCCTGGAGACGACTTGTTTCGGGTTGGTTCCTACCCCAGTCCCACTCTGTGCTCTTGCTATCCCTCACCCCCGTCCTGCCTCTGGAACTTAGCACCTGCCGGCACAGCCTGTTTCTGTGGAGGGGAGGGAACAGGAAGAACCTACATGGCTGCCCTCAGAAGCCAGGGACCCAGAGGCAGCCAGACAAGCCTACTCAGCATAGAAGCTCCAAGTCATAGCAGCAGAACTATGTGGCTTCAGGGAAGCATATCCAAAAATAAAGCAGGGAACAAAGAGAAGTTTCTGAGCCTGGCTGTTCCAGTACCTTCTCTCTTTGTCCATTTTGCATTCTGGAGTTCCTGATTTCCTAATAACCAAGCTTGCTGGAAGAAACTATGCCAAACCCTGGGAGTGCCTTTGACTGCATTCTGCTGAGGGGCCTTGCTTACATATCCGCCTTTTCCTCTTGAATTTTCTTTCCACGAAGCTGCAGTGTAGAGAAGGACCTGACGTGCCAAGATGGGCTTGTCTGCAGTCTGGAGGGCAGGAAGACTACCAGGATCATTTTGTTCCTTCAGAAAGTCATCTGAGTGTCTGCCTTAGAGGAGCTAGAGGAAAGGCTGCTCAGGATCCTCTGGGAGTGGAGGTGTAGCACTTGGACCACAGGGGAGCCCTGGGGGTGGCCTCTTGGGGTGGGATCTGTTCACGGGGTGGGTGGGGGGTCTTACATCCCATCCCTGAGAAGGCTGAGGTCAGGGCATACAATGTACTTGCTGAGGAATGCTGAGAAACAGTTTACCCCAAAGTAAATCCAGAATATGTGGCTTTATGCTCCTTTTCTTTTTCTATGTGAGTGATCAAAGCTTAGCTTCTTGTCTAAAACAGGGGCTCTGCTGATTCTCTGGTGTTCAGATAGAGATCTCTTTATCTAGGATCTGCCTTCTGACTTGCTTCCAAATACTTTTCTTCCCACGGCTATTTATGGAACACCTCTGAAGTGTCTGGTACTATGTTCTATATTCTTATACATCTTTTCTTAGGTCTATTTGACTCTGTGCCCTGGGCCAGACACCTGTGAGTTTTCCTTGACCTGGATATAGGTGTGGGGGTTGTGTGTGTGTGTGTGTGTGTTTAACTTTTTCTTTTTTATTTATTTATTTATATATTTTTAAAAATGTTTATTTACTTTTGAGAAAGAGAGTACCAGTGGGGGAGGGATAGAGAGAGAGGAGGACAGAGGATCTGAAGCGGGCTCCACCCTGACAGTGGTGAGCCTGATATGGGGCTCAAACTCATGAACCATGAGATCATGACCTGAGCTGAAGTTGTAAGCTCAACTGACTGAGCCACCCAGGCGCCTTTTACTTTTTATAGTTGAAAGTAATACAAGCATGTAGTTAAAACAATAATAACTGAAAATGTGCAAAAGGGTATATGCTCTCATTCTAGATCCCCAGACATAGCCAATATTACCATAAATAGAAACATCCTATATTTATTGTTTTGTATCTTGCTTTTCGGTCCTAACAATATATGTTAGAGCTCATCCTATTACCAGCATATTTGGTAATCTTAATGCTTGTGTAACATGTGATTATATGGATATATAATAATTTTTTAAAAAGTAAGATTTATTGAAGTTTAATATACATGCAATAAAACTTACTTTTTGGTGTAGGGGTTTTGGTAAATGCACACCTTTGAGTAACCACAGCAATCCAGTAGAACCCCCTGAAAATTCCCTTGTGCTGCTTTGTAGTTAACCCCTCCCCTAACTCTCAACCCCTGATAACCACTGATCAGTTTTTTTTCCTGTAGCATTTCCAGAATGTTACATTAATGGAATCATACAGTATGAAGCCTTTTGAGTGTGCCTCTTTCATTCACTATAATGCATTTGAGTTTCGTACATGTGTGTATCAGTTGTTCCTTTTTATTGCTGAATGGTATTCCATGGTATGGATATAACAGTTTGTTTACTCAGTGGTTGAGGGGTGCCTGGGTGGCTTAGTTGGTTAAGCATCCAACTTTGGCTCAGGTCATGATCTCACAGTCCATGAGTTTGAGCCCCATGTTGGGCTCTGTGCTGACAGCTCAGATCCCGGACCCTACTTCAGATTCTGTGTCTCCCTCTCTCTCTGCCCCTCTTCCACTCATGCTCTGTCTGTCTCTCTCTCAAAAATGAATAAACATTTATAAGTAAATAAATAAAAAATATCTACTCAGTCATCAAAAGACATGTAGGTAAATTTCAGTTTTTTGTGATTATAAATAAAGCCAGTATAAAAATTTGTATATGGGATATCTCATTAACTCTATAAGAAATTGCCAACTTTTTTTTTTAATGTCTATTTATTTATTTTGAGAGGGAGAGAACCTGAGTGGAGGAGAGGCAGAGAGAGAGGGAGAGAGAGAGAATCCCAAGCAGGCTTCCATGCTGTCAGTGCAGAGCCCAACTCGGGGCTTGAGCTCATAAATGGTGAGATCATGACCTAAGCCATAATCAAGAGTTAGATGTTCAACCAACTGAGTCACCCAGGCACCCCAAGAATTGCCAATGTGTTTTCCAAATTGACTGTGCTATTTTGCTTTCCTGCCATCATTGTATAAGAGTTCCAGTTGCTCTACAGCTATTCTAATTTATAATGATATCTCACTGTGGTTTAAATTTGCATTTTAGTAGTGACTAATGATATTCAGTTTCATTTTCATGTGCTTCTTTAGCATTCCTTTATCTTTGAGGAATTGTCCAAATCTCTTATCATTTTGTAAATTGGTCGTTTTCTTATCAAATGTAAGCCAACTTGACATATTCTGGAGTGAAGCCCTCTGTCCTGTGTGATTCGCAAATATTTTCTTCTAGCATATGGCCTGTCTTTTCATGGTCTTAACAATGTATTTTACAAAGCAGAAGTTTTTAATCATGACAAAGTCCAATTTATCAATTTTTTTTCTTTAATGGATTTTGCTTTTGGTGTTTTATCTAAGAAATCTTACCCTAATCCAAAGTCAAAAAGGTCTTTTCTTATGTTTTCTTCTTGAATTTTTTAGGTTTAGCTCTTACATTTAGGTATGTGACTCATATCAAGTTAATTTTTGTAGATAGTTTTGCATATGTAAGTTTAGTTGTTCCAGAACCATTTGTTGAATACTGTTCTTTATTCATTGAATTACTTTGGCATATTTGTTGAAAATCAGCTAAACATATGTATGTGGGTTTCTTTCTGGAATTCCTATTCCATTTCATTGATCTTTATGTCTGTCCTTCCACTAGTATCATGTTAATATCACAATACGTAGACATTCGTGCCTATTTATTTATTTTGAGTAGGCTCCATGCCCAGTGTGGGACTTGAACTCATGACCCTGAAATCAAGAGTCACATGCTCTACTACCTGAGCCGGCCAGGCACCTCAACAGTCATGTCTTCTATTAAAGACAATTTTATTTCTTCCTTTCCAATGTGGATGCTTCTTTTTCCTTTTTCTTGCCTCATTGCACTGGACTCTTCAGTACAGTGTTGAATAGATGAGGTAACAGTGAATATACTTGCCTTGTTTCCAGTCTCAGGGGGAAAGCATCTAGTCTTTTACCATTATGGTGTTAGCTGTAGGTTTTTCATAGATACCCTTTTAGGATAGAGGGAGTTCTCTTCTATTTCTGGTTTCTTGAGAATTTTTATAATGAAAATGTCATATTTTATCAAATGCTGCTTTTTCTGCATCTTTTGTCATGACCAGTTGGCTTTTCTTCTTTAGTCTATTAATATAGTGAATCACAGGGGCGCCTGGGTGGCTTAGTTGGTTAAGCGTCCGACTTTCGCTTAGGTCATGATCTCGCGGTTCGTGGGTTCGAGCCCCGCATCGGGCTCTGTGCTGACTGCCAGCTCAGAGCCTGGAGCCTGTTTCAGTCTGTGACTCCCTCTCTCTCTGACCCTCCCCTGCTCACGCTGTCTCTCTCTCTCTCCTAGAAATAAATAAAACATTAAAAAAAAAAATAGTGAATCACAATGATTTTTTTCATTGATTTTTTTAATGTTAAACCAGCCTCTTAATACTAGAGTAAACTTCATTTGATTCTAATTTATTATTATTTTTTTGGTATACTGCTGGATTTAAATTACTAATATTTTATTAAGGATATTTGTTTCTCTGTTCATGAGAGATTGCTCTGTAGTTTTTTTGGTAACATTTTAAGTTTTCATATCAGAGTAATGCTGACATTATAGAATAAGTGAGAAAATATTGCTTCATTTGCAGTTTCCTGAAAATTTTGTATAGAATTGATAATATTTTTCTTTAAATGACTGATAGACTCTACCAGCAAAGACATCTAGGGCTACCTAGGTTTTGTGTTAAGAAAATCCCCTTATGGGAAGCTTTTTATTAAGAATTACATTTCTAGGGGCACCTTGGTAGCTCAGTTTGTTGAGTGTCTGACTCTTGATTTAAGCTCAGGTCATGATCCCAAGATCATGGGATTGAGCCCTGCACTGGGCTCCACACTGGGTGTGGAGCCTGCTTAAGATTCTCTCTCTCTCTCTCTCTCTCTCTCTCGCGCGCGCGCGCGCTCTCGCTCTCGCTCTCTCTGTCCCTCCCTCTGCCCCTTTCCTGCTCACACTTTCTCTCTTTCTCAAAAAACAAAAACAAAAAAATTCCAGAAAATTCCATTTCTAAAAAGAATTACATTTCTTTAATAGATCTGGAGCTTTCCTATTTCTATTTGGGTTTTCCTATATCTTCTTTGGTAGTTTGAGCCTCACAGGGGATTTGTGGATTTCCTCTAAGTTGTTAAATGTATTGGCGTAATACACCTGATATTGGTCATTTATATATTTTCTCTTTTTTTTCCCTAGTCTTTCTGGTTAGAATTTTATTGTTTCTATT